ATAAACATCTTTAAATAATCAACATAAAGACAAACCGTAAAGATGTTTACAATTAAGCTAAACCAAAATTACATAAAGATCTACAAACCATTAAGTGAGTGAAGCAGAACGACAGGTGGTAATCACAGATGAACGTCATCAGTATTGGACGATAATCAACACAGATAGGAAGTAAAACGGAACGGGAAAAACAAAAACGGCCGGAATACAAAATAAAACAGGAAACTTAAAGAATAAATCGACTGATCTTTTTTATAGATGTTTCACAATCATTTGGTTCCTGTTGAAGTCAGTTATATTGCTCACTCACTCGCCACGCATTACAATTAGATTTTAATTTCCTCTGAATATGGTTGTTACTTGTAAGTTTAACAACTTTTGTTGTTACCAAGACATCATCATGTTCACAGCAGCAATATTGCAACTAGTAAATACAGTTTTAAATGGGACTTTTACTAAAAAGTAGTAATTCTACTGTACTTACAGTAAAGTTTTATTTTTGATACATATTTAAAATGTAGGACAACGTAGCTGAAATATTAGGAAGCTGGGAAATGTTTTCATGTACCGCCACCATGTTGAAAAACTACCGCACCTGAATTTGAAAATTGATTCTGCAAGTGTGCATCTACACTTGTGTTAATTACTCAAAGAACGTGAGCGGGAAAAGGAACGCACCCACACGTATCAGTTAAATATAGTAACTCTCGTCAAGAAAGATTAAATTAGCTCAATACTGTATATAGTTGTCAAATAGTTTTCGATTTATTTAAAGGCACGACAAAGTACATTTTTAGCACACGTACGCTCTGCTGTGAGTACTCAAACGAGCGCAATTTATTTCTGATGTGATTGCAACGCCGTGCTGATAAAGAAAAGTGTAAATGACATGGAGCCCTGTCTTTCGACAGTAAAATGTAAGTATTATTATGGTCATTTGGTCGATATATTACTTCAAATTGTTGGTACGTTTTCTAATATTCCTCTATTTTTTTAATGAAGAGTAATTAACGCCTAAGCTACAAGCTAGGTTCTAGAAAAATCTACGGGTGTATTGCTGCTATATAACTGTCCAAAGTAATTTAATTTCTACTTAAATTACAGCAACAGACAATGTTATATTCGACGACATTTAACAATTATTTTAAAAACACTAAAGATGAACGTAAACCGTTTTTAATCAGTTTTAAAACAAAAGCAAAATACCTAATAAAAGCTTTTAGACGTCGGTAGACGTCGAGTATTTCGCTGTTTTCCGGTGTAACTACATATAAATGGAAGTCCATAAGTGCTAAGGAAACTTTAAACTCAAACTTTATTGTCCTCAGACATTATCTTGACTAGTAGATACGTATACTCCGATTTCAGTTAATATAAGATAATAAGATAACAGAACATGTTCAGTTCGTGTATACACACACACACACAAATGTAAGTAGTTATCCAGGTTCTAAACATACTCTACCTGGTACTTAGCAAAGCCAAAACCAAATGTAACATCATGTAACATATCATCATGTTATATTAACCTTATAAACTCAATAATTTGCCCTCATATTTTTAACCCCTTACCATTTGATGCAAGCAATTCTGAAAGGACATTCTAATCTTAGATAGATAATTTACTTCTGATCAACCTTTCGGGCCATACTTTTGCTACCACACAGCAATTTTATGTAACTTTTATGTTAAAGTTGCAGGATTTTCTTTTGTCTTTGTCTGTTAATATCCTAACATCTTGATTTGATTCCCCGTTAAGGTCTAATTGATAAACTGCTCAAGAGACAGCAGGTAGACTATGGCGAGATCATAGAGAAATTGTTCTCTGAAGTATCGGGACTTGAAGATTGTACCAAAATAACAGATCCACAGGTACATACTGTAGACTATAAGTCGGACCCTGAACTACTATATATATATATATATATATACACTATTACTATTACTACTACAGTTTGTTCAGTATAGTAGTAGTATTTGAGACTGATCCGTACAACTTCTCACAGTGTGAGGAGTGTGCCATCCAGCTGTGGAACTGGGCAGTCACAAAGAATGTGGGCTCTGCACTAAGTAACAATCAGAAGGCCAAAGGTAAACCTCCAATTTTAATGTTTAATTTATTTCATGTGCAATGATTAAAAATAATAAAAGAGCTATTGTTGTCAACACAATGGGATAGTGAGCAACGGTGTTTTCAGTTTTTTTATACTACACATCTAAATGTTCTGTCTTTAAAGTTCGCCATGTTGCGTGTAATCTGCTGTACTTCTGTGAGCCTGAGCATCCAACAGAGGGCGTCATCCGCAAGCAGATTCTGGTAGGCAAAACCCCTGTATATGGTAACATTACTATGTGGGTGCTTTGTTTTTCAGGTTGACAAGGACAATATAATATAACATAACATGACATAATATTATAATATAATTCTTACAGATGTCTAGCAAAACAGGAAGATCCTGGCTGGACTGCAAAGATCCCCAGATGGCAGATCATTTTCTAAGGCTTGCAGTGAAGGTGATTATTAATTTTACTATTATTATTATTATTATACTAGTGCACAGCTAACTTGTGATTAATCAAATTAAACATGTGGATCATTTGACAGCACTTTTAATATTATGTAAATTATAAAGCATTTCATATCCCCAGAGTCTGGAGAACCTTTACAGCCAACTGACATCCAGAAGTGCTGGAGTAGCTGACATGACTTTTACCAAGGGAGATGTGGAAAAGGATCTTCTTCGAATTCTCTCATTCCAGGCCGAATCGGTAAGCAGTGCACCATGTGACGATCAACACCTTTAATGTGAATATTTGTTCTTGTGATATCTGGCATCTGACGAAGTGTTATTCTGACAGACTTGCAGTGTGAAGTGTGAGACAGCTGAAATGTGAACTGAGAAACAATGATAGAGGGAAATTGTATTCTGTGCTTTTTGTGAAATGTTTAATCTGTTACTTTAAAAACCTTAAAGTGATAGTTCAAGGTTTTATGGTGCCATTTTCTCAAGTGCCCTCACACAGTGCTGGGGCAATGTACCAACATTAGATTCTCACAATTATTCTACTAAAAATATAACTGCCATAGAGGGCACCAAGAAAATTTTTCTTTTAATCTGTCTATTCCCCTCACCATTCTCCATTAAGAAAGTTGTTTTAGTTTAAAATTGCAGGTCTTCAGTTGCTACTTACCATTGTGTTTATTAAGTTACTTTAATTCAAACATTTAATTTCAAAGTCTTGTAAAGACAAATAGTGAATTTAAACATAGTGATGGACGAAGCAAAGAAATGCTAGCTAAAGCAGATTACACTTTTTAATAACCCTTTGTTTTCTTACAAAAACATGGACTATCTCATATAAAAGATGTTCAATTCTCTTTGTGTTTACAGGCCATAAGTCAAGGGAACAACCAGGAGGCTGTGGCCTACATTCAACGTTGTAAAGACATGCTGCAAGGGCTACCAAAAGAGGTAAAGAAAAAAAAAGTATTTTTCTATAAATACAGCAATCCTTATTTCTCAATTTAAATTATATTGTGGCTTTTTCTATTTTCAGACTGTCTATCTCTCCCTTATGTGCTACAATTTTGGAGTAGACACATACAATTTGACAAAGTTTGAGGACAGTGCTTTTTGGTTGCGGTAACAAATAATATTTGTTATTTCTTTAAATTGTTCAGTTTTTATTTCTTTAATAGGTCAGTTGGAGGTATTATGAAGCTGAGCAGCTATAGAATCCCAATAAAGTTGTATATTCCAATTTGTTTAATTTTTAACAGTTATTTTTCAAATTTAATATGAAAATGTTAAGCAAACATTGATCTTCAGTCAGTCATCTTAAGTGAGAGAGAACTTTAATATTCATTGTAAGAATTTTTTTTTTTTTTCATTTTTTAGCCAAAGCTATGATATTGGGAAACTGAATATGAAATATGCGCCTCGCCCTGAAGCCCAGGTAAAGTGACAGAGTAAATGCTTGATCCAACATCTCACATTTAACTGTAAGATGTGCATTCAGGTAATATGATCAAATTATTAAAAACGTATGGATTAATATGACATGTATTTATTCTCTGGCAATAGGCAAAAGTGCTGAGACTCCTTGCTACTGTTTACTTAGAGTGGGACTGTCATAAGTTTCAGGAGAAGGCTCTGAATGCTGCAGACTTAGCCAACAGGGTGAGAAACAAAAACAACAAAATATTGGCACATGTGGTACACGGTACAGAGTACAAATTCTCCTAATTCCCTAATTGCTTCATATAATTTTACAGGAATATGCCACCGTCTCTGGGCAGCACTTAAAGATCAGAATTCTCCTGAGATGTAGGTCCTCGGATGATCACGTGAGAAGAGGTTAATTAACACCAGGTGTCATTGAATGATTAATGTATTATAGAACTGAATGAATGTAGGTAGCATTATGGTGTTAGTAGCTGAGAAAACCCTGACAGAGTTGAGTTAGTGCATTGTTTTTATGTTGTTTTATGTTTTGATGTTTCCTAATTTACACTCTCTTTGAATGGTTTTTCAAAGATTTGTTATTTTTAAAGTTAAGAAAATATTTTAATAATTTTTCAATCGTCTTAAATTTAATTTTACATAATTTTTGGAAGCCCTTAAATAGTTTAGTTTTAACTTAAACAAACCTAACAATTGTACAGTATATCCTTGATTAGACGTAACATTTCACTGTGATATAAGGTGATCATGGAACTCGTGCATCAGATAACTTGTGTTAAAATAGCCGGGCTGTCGGCTCACACTGTATGTGTTTTCAGGACTAGATGAGATGCTAAAATTAGACGTTCCTATTGAGGTGTGTCTGGGCATGGTAAAACTACTTATGACTGAGGACAGGTAAAAACCTTACTCTTTCTCTCTTTAACATGTCCAAATCTGTTAATTAACTTATAATAATAATAATAATAATAATAATAATACTTACTTTGGCTTTTATAGAGAAGTGCTGGCATTTGAGTTTTTAAAACATGTGTGTCAGCGCTTTGCCTCCTCTCCTGACCTTGGAAGTGCTCTGGTCTTGAACATTGAACTTCTGCTGCAGAGAGGAAAGGAGCTGCTGGGTAAACAGAAGATAGAGGACATTATCACTGGTAGATTTTTTTTTGCCAATTCATTCTGCTAAAGAATTTACAGTAAGTCCTAAACACATTGAAGTGTACATTCATACAGGACACTATACAGGAAAACAGCTGACTCCACAGACTCTTTCTAGTCTACATGTCATTCTGTGGGATAAAGCATCAAAATATTTTGAGGTGAATGGTGATTTTTCTTTTCTGTGACTTATTATGGAAAACAAAATTTGTATCATAAAGAAGTTGTATCACAAATGAAACAGAGCAAATAAATCAGTTAAGTTTTGATTAAACTGAAACAGAACAAATAAATCAGTTAAGTTTTGATTAAAGACTGTTAAAATCAATGTTTTGATTTTTGCAGGACAAGAAATACTCAGAGGCTCTGCAATGGTATAGTTACTCCCTGAGTTTCTTCAAGGCGGGTCAGATGGAGCCCAACTTAGCCAAACTGCAGAGGAACAGAGCTTCCTGTTTTCTGCAACTAAAGCAACTAGATAAGGTATTGACAGAAAGCAAAATACAATTTTTGTTTTACCTCTTTGATTATTCCCAATAGCAAATTATTCCCCAGTCCACGTCAATAAAACCTGTGTTGCTAGGCCAAAGAAGCGGTTAAAGAAGCAGAGCGCTGCGATCCTGAGAATATTTTTACTCAGTTCAGTGTTTACAAGATTGCTGTTCTGGAGAACAATGTCAAAAAAGGTATATCATGTTAAAAAACCTTCACCAAACATTAAGAAACAACAAGCATGTGTGACTGGTGTTTAAATCCATTGACAAAACATTTCAGCAACTCTATATTTGCAACAGCTGCAGAGGCAGTGAATGCCATAGGACAACTGTCTCAGAGTCCTATAGCCAAAGAGGACAAACTGCTGGTTTCTGAAGATGCTGCTTCCAGTCTCCTTAGTCTGGCTGCTCAGATCGCTTTGAAGGTGAAGTTCATTGCACTTTGATTTATGATCTCAATGTCAGGGACCGGGCAGATTTAATAATATTCAAATATCTGTGAACAAAATGGTAAAGACCGTAAACCAAATTATTCAGTAACTGCAACAGTCTTTAGTCAGTGGCAGTGTTCTTAAATCTGAACACTCCAGTTTATAGAATAATAATGAAATAATAAAAGTAATTTTTACAAACCTGATCAAATACAATGTAATAAAGTGTAAAGCTGGCTTCTAAAAGATAACATCTATCTTAGAACTATTTGACTTACTCTTCTACGCTACAGCTTTTACTGGTGCTACATACAATTAGCAGTATTGGTGGGTGGGAAGCTAATTATGTATATAGGAGCAGCCACATTGGGTAGCAACCACTGGGATTAGTAATTTGTGGGGTGAAGACTTTTTTTTTCAAATGAAAATAGCAAATGTGTGGGCTGTTCTATTTTGAACATGTTGTATGATTATGATGAAGATGACAACCATGTCTTTGTTTCTGTGAGACAGAATGAACAGCAGGAAACTGCCATAAAGGCACTGGAGAGTCTGTGTGAAAATTCCACAGATGAAGCACAGGTTTTGACTGCTCTCAGGTTAGTTGCTAAAAAAATTCCTAGAATCTTAATCGTCTTCCAATTTTATTTTTTTGCTGCTTCTTCTTGAAATCCTCATGAGGGAAGGGTCGATGAGGTAAAGAGTATATGTAAGTAAGAATAGCTAAAGTTAGCCAAAGGTTAACTGATATTACGTAATCCAAGAAGTTTATTTAAATAGAAATAGAATGTCCATAGTTCTTTGAAATGGACATTCTGAAAAAAAAATGTATAATTTAGAGAAAATTGTCCAAAGCAGTTTACTATTGGTCTACAACAGTAAATGAGAGATTAATCTACTTAAAAGATGGACAAAAATGTCACAATCCTTTATTAAAGTGTATAAGGGGCATAAAAACTCTTGTAAAGAATAATTGTTCATACTGCATTTAATTGTGGTAATCACCTTGATTTCTGGTGGTACCAGCTTGGAAAACAGAAACAGTATTTGGTGTAACACATTTGTGTAATCTATTTTAAAGCATACAGAGCTGATGAATAAGCAAAACATGTTGTTGTAACAGACATGACCACTCATGTACTGAGGTACTGTGATGAGTGTGTTCAATTTCTGTACACCTCTGTGATCCACTGACCCATATTCCTCAACTCCTCTGAAACTGTGTCTCTGTACAACAAAGTTAGTAGGTGAGGAAAGGAGGTCAGCAGCACTTTGTCCATTCATCTTTTTGTAGATGCTTGGTTCGGCTTGTGCTTTCGACGCTGGAGAAGACAAGTGAGGAGATGAGGTGAACCAAGGGGAAGAGAACAAAATATGTTCTTTTATATTTAAGAGTTAAGAAAATGGGTATAACTATTTACTATGACTTCACATATAGGATTGTGGGTATGGATACTTTGCTGCCATATTTAAAAATGGGTGAGTACTTGTATGGGCTAAATAGCTTTTGGGGGAAAATGTGCTCCCTAAAGTAACTGTTGTCTAAACCACAACAGTTTTTGTTTTCCACTCCCACAGCTCTGCAGAAGATTTCTCACCAGTCTCACATGAGTGTTGAGCAGCGCACAGATGAAGCTAACTGGTTCAGGAAGATTGGTATTAATATTTTTCCTCTCCTTCTGTCACTTTCACTTTAATTTGACATGCTATGTTGGCAATTTAAATAATGAAGCACTTTCACTTTATCCCTGCCTGTGTCTGTCCTTGTTGAAGCCTGGAACTCGGCTCTGCAGTGTGAGAGCAGCCCTGACAGGATGAAGGATTTCTTTGTACTCTCTTACCAGGCAAGTACCCTCAATGGCATTGTCAGGTGAATTGATCAATATTTAAAGTATGAAGAGTGTGGACCAATAACACTTGAGCTTCACTTTAACATTCCTAAAGGAGGGCAAACTCTTCAGAGATTTTAAATGAGTCACACTTGTCCTTTCTTGATCGTTTCTTCTGGTTAGTGACTTTTTGACCCTGTATCTGAACGACAGATAAAACATGCAATTAAAGATGTTTGACATGCAAGCACTAAAGCTCAGATGAAGTGCTGGTAGATATGTGTACCAGGGCAATACAAGCAATAAAAGTCACTTGCTGAAAGCCACAGCCTATTTAGATTACAACTACCTGTGATTAACTTCATTCCAAATAGATTACTGTGTAAATGTATTTAATACTGTCTTGTCCAACTGATTTTTCTTTTGTTAAAATGCATTTCCACGAACCTGAAGCTTTCCCAGATATGCCCTGAAGATCGAACATTGCTTATGGGCCAGAAGACTTGCCTGCTCATGGCTGCTGCTGCCTCACTTGAAGTCTGCAGGCGGTCTCCTCACTCTGATCAGGTGTGTCTCCTACATTTAACACACACCATCTATAGTCACATGGATGAGAAATATAAAAATATACCATGACTGTTGAGGATACAAGGGCTAAACATATCACTGGTGCTAGAGTAGGTGTTTCATTTTAAGTCTATGAAGAAGAAACAAACACTAGGTGGCAGTAATGAATACTGAATGTTTTTTGTCTTTGGATCACAGACTGAGGAGCTCACACAAGCTTTGGAGTACATTCAGATCTGTTGGGATGTTTGGAAAACCCTCAAAGTTTCAGGTTATTTTTTTAAATCACCCTGGTTTTTATGTTTAACCATCAAAGTAGGGAATAAGAAGCATTTGTTTGAGGTCAATGCAGAAGTACATACATTTATACTATGATAACAGAAAGACAAAGTTAAATCTTATTACTTACCATCTTCTTTTAGTATAACCACCAAGGTTATTTACAGCATGGACATATTTTGGAAGAACATTTATGAAATACAAGTTGGGTTGGTGGTTTACCTGCTTTCTGTCCTAATCTGATTAGGATCACCTGCATCTGATCCTAATCAGATTGTAGCGCTGTAGGTGTGGATGTCCTAAAGGTTTGCAGAGCATTCACAATGTTTTGCCATGGGGCTTTTTTCCTGCTAATCTTTAGTTAAGTCTGTCTGTGAATTATCCGGAGCCCTTTTCAGTAACTTTATTATAGCGAGCAGGTAAACCAGTTGATTTCTACTGCCACAGTGTAAAGTGATGCAACATTGTTGTGTATTTTTTAAATGAAGACTGAAGAATGACTCTGGAAGAAGATTGGTTAATAAATAATAAGCATTAGCCTTACTGTAGCGTATGAAATAAAAAAACTGTGAAACTAGGCAGTTTAAGTTTAAGGTGTATATACAAAATACAGATTATGCATGTTATTAAAAAAAAAAGAGCAGTGTGTTAAAGTGTCATCACAAACTTACAGGAAGCTTCCCCCTGGACCCCACTGACACACTACTGTTGCTGTATGAATTTGAAGCTCGTGCAAAACTAAATGACCCCAAGGTTGAAATGGTACTGGAGTCTGTTCTGGAGCTGGAGAATGTTGAATCCAAGGTGCTTGAGATCATTGCAGGTAAATAAAAAGTACAAATAAAAGCTTTTTGTAAAATGAGGGATGAAGAAGCAGTGTTACTGATATTATTATGTTGGATTTTTTTTTCTGATTGCAGCCTTAGCTATGGAGCCCCCAGCCCACTTCCCAGTGCTGTGTAAGAAAGCCTTGAGAGTTGCTCTGTCGCTGCACAAGAAACAACCACAGACAGACCTGACCCGCTGCAGGCAAACCCATCACTTCTCTCCATGAAAACACCCTTGACATTTCATTAACTACCAACTCCCACAAAGCAAAATCTGGATGAAAGGCTTTTTGATTGTGCACATTTTTTTCTCTCTCTGTTTCAGCAAGTGTATCCACAGTCTGATCAAGCTGTCCCTCCCGACCGGTGTGTCAGAGGTGGAGGCCCATGGTTTAGAGGAGGTGTGGAGCTACTACGAGGAGGCCATGTCCATCCTTGCCACCACAGTGAGTCAGAGTCCAACACACACCTCCATCCCTCAACTCCTTCCCTCCCACTTTCTCCAGCAGAGATGCTGCTTGCTACATAATTAACCCCCTCTCCTCCGCTCCATGCCTTCCTGCTGTTCTAGAAGTCTCTTTTTTTATCAATGAGCTTTCAGCTGCACTTCAATTAGCAGATGCTTCCATTCACCACCCCCTTCCTGCCAATTTGAATGTCAATGTGCTGCACAAATCATCACACTGCCGGTGAGCTGCAACTTTGAAAGAGGCATCAAATTATTGAGCCATTACTCTGCTTTTGAGGCTCTGCAGATTTTCCCCCTTTCACTCTGCCTTATTTCAGTTATGGAACTCTTTGGATCAAAGCAAAATCCCAAGATTAAAGAGTTGTAAAAAACATTCACATGAAGCATTAATGTGAGATTAAGTACAGTGAAACAGGAAAGGATGAAAGTTAGAAATGGTCCTCACAGGGGTTTACCCTCTGAAAAACACGTTTTTGTTTCCTTACATGTACTACGGTGATCATCCCAGTCACACAGGTGGTTTCCATTAAATCTGGCTTTTTCTTGTTCATTATGTAGCCTGAAGACTTTCCAGAAACCGAGACTTTGTGGTTGCTAACTCGGGCCTGGAACACAGGAATCCTGCTGTACAGCCTGGCTCGGTATCCTGAAGCTGAGAAGTGGTGTGGCCTCGCCATCAGGTTCGTGTGCCACCTGGGATCTCTGCAGGAGAGCTACGAGAAACAGGTGCAGGCCTGAAGGAGAGGGAGGGAGGGAGGGAGGGTAGGGGAGAATGAAATGGCTGGTGGCAATGAATGCAACAACATTTTAAATTAACAAGTTTTCTGTGTATCCACAGATGTCTGGTCTTTACAGTGAAGTTCTGGACAAGTTGGACAAAGCCAAAAAGAACCTGGTCACTGAAGAATAATCTTCCTGTTGTCAACAGTCTGCTGGTAACTACAGTTAGACATTTGTCAGAATGTTGTTTTCATAATTAATTCTTAGATTTACCAAACTAACACTAACTAAGATGTGTCAAAACTAAAGAACCTGGACACGAGTCCATATAAATTACATTATGGATCCAGAGCAGACCTGGACTAGTTTTATTTAATTTGATTTACGCTGTCTATAAGACGTAGTAGATGAGGGCTTCTCTGTTGAAGGCTTTATGGTTGCAGAGCGAAGAGCCACAAGATGGCAGTGGAATTCACTGTGGTCAGAGGACACAGGACAGGAAGTAAGACCAAAGGTTTATATAACAGATGAGACTAATTTCTACTAAAATATTTCTTGACAAAAAGTTATTTCTGAACTCTGAGTGGAAAATATAGTTTTGTCCTCCAGGATTCACTAGTGGCTCTGTCCGGTTCTTACATACAGTCTATGATTTGTACCTGTTCATTAACCAGTTTCAGTTTCTAACCAGTAGTTATGTAGAAGATATGTTTGATGTTCTGGTCCAGATCTGCTTTGGAGTTTCCATTTAAAATCTTTGACAAAATCTTTTCCTGTGTAGATTGAGTTAAGCATCGGTCATTTTTCTTCTGGAGTTTCTTCTCATCTAATTGTAATTGTAATTACTGGTTAGATTTTGGATCAATCCTCGTTCCTGGTCTTTACAATCTCCTGTCATAAATTTAAAAAAAAATGCTGTATTTCACAGTTACTAAGTCAGTTCAGATAGAATAACAAGGACATGAAAATCATAACTGAGTCACATATTTTATTTTCAAACAAATAAACTCTCAAGTCCCAAAATAAAGCCCAAACAAAAATAGCAGGACTGTTCCCTCATGACTAGGACAGGGGAAGACCACAAGGCCCAGTGTCCTGATGGGCTGAACCACCTGCAGTGACAGGAAGGAAACTACTGTACAATCAAAGGGTTCATGTTTGCAAGCACTTACTGCACAGATGCGCCATAAACATAAACATCACCCAGGAGTACGAACAAGAACCCTGACCCCCCCCCCCCCACCCCCGCCCCAAAAATAAAAGCAAAAATGTCATAGTTTCTCTCAGCAGAATAAAGACCCTTGTCACGTAAACACACAGTCATTCAGCTTCCATCTTATTATACACCACCCCCTCAATAGAAAGAGAAAAATGAAATCAACTTCTTTGGGCTTGGACATGGCTGACTGAGGAATGAAACCACACACATTGTTAACAGTCAGCTTGTGTTTGAACTAAAACACCAGAGATGGACCGTTTCATCAATTAGTGATCGATGCCCGGTTCATGTGATTTGGTGGAGACTCCTGCCTGGATCTTTTTGAATTTTAAATATATATATATATATATATATTTAAAATTTTAAAAATCTATGCGTCTAGACACATTCCACAAATCACATTTAGTCAGGCCATGTATAACGGATTTCAATTCTCCAACTGACTATGTTCTGTATCCCAGCAGGCATTTTGAAGAGCAACACCAAGGATACATCACGTCTGTATGGAAATTAAATCTGGAGAGTAGGTCAGAGTTTTTACTTACCTGATATTTGTGGTCTATATAAAAATGTTAGTCCCATTTGGATTCACACATGCATAACGCACAGGTGAGGGGTGGAGGGGTTCACTGGGGGAGCTTATATACAGCTACCACACCCTTTGAAACAGTCAAACTGCATGCAGTTTAGAAATGGCTCTGTTCCCTTCATTTATTCCCTGAACTCTGTTTTTTGACGCAGGTTAATGAGAGCTGGTTTAGCAGTGGTGCCTTGCAGGTGGGGGTGAGTGGGGGCACACCTGTTCAGACTATGCCTGCAGGTACTGGTAGAAGTGTTCTGTGAGTGAAAGAGGGTGGGAAATCCAGGGGTCGAGGTGACAACTTCTGGTTGGTTCTAGATCTTCTGGAAAATTAAGTAAAAATCATCAGCTATTGATATCAGAGGCCAGTTTTCCTCCTTTAATGCCAAACTCTGCCAGGTGGGGGTGAGCAGAGGGGGTCACTTCTGCCCAGTCAAGGGTGTGACATGACTCCAATGGACTAGAAGTCAACTTCAACACTGATTAGTAGAGATGGTTGGTGTAATGGTAGAAGATAGAAATTAATATCAATGTGGCCTGTGATTTAAATTGAAATTGTTTCCATTCAACCTAAATAAATCTGGTAGACTAATCGACCGACATAAACGACCCAAGTAAATGGATCACACGAGGACAAAAAGGAGCACTTGCAGTCACGACAACTGAAAGTCCAAGGTGTTACTACTGGATTGAACCAGTGTAACTATTGGTAAGGTTGTTAAAGCAGCCGCACTGAATGACTGGACACCACTGCAATGCTTTGGTCAAAGGCTCCTCCATTAAGCTGTTTAAGGTTAAATATCTTCACATACTCCAGAGTATGTTGCAGTATTGACCATGCTTTAGGTCAGAGGCTCTCAACCTGCAGGCTGTGTACCACTGATGGTACTTGGGCTCCCTGTCAGTTTAGCCAGGCAAATCTACTCCCTATTAGTTTTAGGAAAGTCACTAACGTATTGTTACCTGCTCTCTGTGTGTGTCTGTGTGTCAGAAATATAATTAAGTGCCAGTAGTGCTACTTGGTTGGACAGTGGGGCTTTGGCTGACAAATAATTAAATAGTCTTATGAGAAATAAATATACTGTATATAAAAGTAGTTACGTCAAGGTCAACTGGACTGGTAGGTTTTTCCGAAGACATTTCACTGTCATTCAAGAGGCTTCTTCACTTCTAACTAACTGCTGGGAAGTTTGTGGTATTTAACCTTGAAGAGGCTGGACGCCTGAAAGAGAGGGTCGCTGGGGAGAACAAGGGGGTGACCACACCCAACAGGGTTAAGGTGTGGATACTTATATAGTGTACTGAAGAGACAGCCCTGTGCAGTTGTATGTTAGTGTTGTTCATACTGGTGGACTTTAAAGAGACATTTTTAGAGATGATATGCAAAGTAGTAGCAGATCATAGTGTAGTTGCCATACGTGATCAGGTGGAGTAATGTGGTTTACTTACTTTGGTTAACATCGAAACTACTATAAGTACAAGTAAAGTGGTCAAGTTGTCGTTGTATGACAATGTAGCATTCTCATGAATTATTTTATTTAGAGATGTATCTTGTCACAGCATTTGTTTCTGTAGTTTAGACTGTGTTTAATGTATATCTAAGAAATGTCTATCGTATCACACTTGATTTCGTTGTGACTCCAGTGTTTTCCCGGTCTTTTGGGATGTAAGTCCAGATTTCCTTTTTTCAATGACCAGGGTTCAGCTTCAGCTGGGGACACACTACACAATTTTCAAATTCTTCAGCCATTTTTAGAGTAAATGCTAACAGACTGGTTTCAGCAGAATTTTGCAAGATGTAATTAAAAGATTAGGAATGTGAAATATGTAATGAGGGAGACAAGATTTGAAAAACCAACTGAAGGCTAAGTGAGCGCAACTCTCTCAGTGACACTCCTGCCTCTGCTAAAGCTCCGTTGTGTCTATGTCTCTTCCTAATTCCTGTGTTACAGGTTTGCAGTGTCTCTTTGCTTTTAATGTTTGGAAAGTTGTTTCAATGTCCTCACTACTGTCTGTCATCTGTAGACGCTGGTCTGTGTTTGTGACATTGTCTCTTTTTCATTAGCAACATATTTGTGGTGGGGTCAGTTATCAGTCCACCTGATATTTGGGTTTTAAAAAATTTGATTGACTCTAAATGAAGCCCGCCTGTTCTGCTCACACACTTGCAGACTATTATCTGCCCCACAACTGGTGCAGACTTTGCCCTACTGGGAAATGCAGGTAGAGTCTTGCAAAAACTCTTGTAGTGTGTCCTCAGCTTTACTTGGTCTAAATCGTATTGTGTACTTAAGGGTTAAGGTCTTCACCAAGTATGAAGACACCGTCAGTGATAGCATATCAAGATGGATCTCTGTATCATTTCCCAGATGTGGTTCTCAGGAGAACCCATATCTCAGATTCCTGAGCTGGTCTAACTTGACCTCAGGCTCACTAATGAGTTAAACACCTGCCACCAAATGATTCATTTACAGATACACAAAGCATCACGGTTTAATCAAACCCAACTTTAGTGTTATTCTTTGAAAGTGGGACATGGGGACAATCCAAAAACAGGTTATATCCACTCTTTAATTGTTAGGACATCCAATACAATTATTGTCTTGTTCTACCCGTTTTTAAGGCCACCATCATGGCGGCAGATAGGACAGTACCATGTGACCATTCAATCAGAAGAGAGTCCACTTGGAAGGCAGAGAGTGTAATAGGCTGATCTGCTGCTCAACGTGAGCTAGGAGGTGCTGGCTGCCCAAACTGTAATCAAATGGCCAAATTTCTCTTTTGAATTCCACAGCAAACAGAGGTTGAAATAGGTGGGGGAGAAAAAGTGCCCACGATTGACACTTGATTTCATCTATTGCACTCGAGTCAGGGCCTCCAGGCAGCATGGGGACACAAAAAAGTCAAGGAAAAACCGAGGGGAGTTTCCTCTTTTCCTTCTAAACCGCGTGTGTCCTCCCTCACAGATGACAGGTAGTCACAAAACAGAATTTGTATTTGATGTAAGGCAGTTTGGTGTTTTGCAGAGAGCCCAGTTACACCTCTCTACCCCCATCCTCTTACACAGAGCAGCTAAAAACCACGAGCAAAACAAAACAAAATCCCACAAATAAAGGAAAAGAAAAGAAAATCTAACAGCCCTCCAAATTGACAATTCTAGTGAAGTGTAAAATGAGTAGTTTCTTTTTAATATGTAGTAAAATCTCAGTAAGATTTTTTTTTCTCATTTATCTCGTGATTTTCTTTTATAATATAAATGTAGAGATTCACAACACATGTCTTCCTCTTCATCTGCCTCCACAGATGTCTGTAATCAGCTGCAGCACAGACAACTGGCAGAAAGACCTAACAGCGAGCTGGTTAGTGATGAATACATCACCAGTTTGTAGGCTCCTCCTCCTCCTCCTCCTCCTCTCATGTCCTCAGTCACTATTAACCAGAGACTGTGTCAACAGTACCGTCAGCAGGGCTCATTTTTATCCAGTCTTTTTTAGAAAGAGAAAAGAAAAGTGAGTTGGTCTTCAACCTCTCATCCTGTTCATCCTCTTTTAAATGTGATTCTGATGAACATTTACAAAGTGATTTTGTCTCTTGTTCCCCTGCGACTCCCCTCTCTCTCCAGGTCTGTAGTAAAACATTCTGATCTTCAGTCAGTCCCAGTCAACAAAAGGATTTATTCCTTTTTCCCTTTTGTTTTTTTTATTCACTTGACAAATTTCCTTTGGAATGGAGTTTCCAGTCTTGAATGGGTTTGTTGAGAAACTCATGCAGGGGATGGGGGTGTGTGTGCACAGTCACAGTAATGGTGATAAGACTTCTTTTTCATTTAGAGAGTAACATAATGATGACACTAAAACTTTGATATGAAACATATCTGCAAAAAGGAGTTGAGGGCGGGGGGAAGGTGGGGCCTATATGGGTTAAGGACAGGTCTCTGGGAGGCGAGAGGGAAGTTCTGCAGCGACGCAGTGGCAGGACGGCAGGGAGCTCAGAGCTTCTCTGAGGAGGGGATCCAGATGTAGGGACCAGACTGCTCCTCGATGATTAGCTTGATTTTGTTGTAGATCTCTTCTAGTGAGTCGCCCTGTACAATAGCTGCACACAAACACAGAGGCAGACGGTCAATGTGAGAGAATCTGGGACTAAAGAATTGATTAATAATGAAAAACAATGTCATATGTCTAACTGATGATTTAGAGAAATGACAATACAGTGACACTGACCTGTGAAAAACTCTCCAAAGTCCTGTTCCAGCTTCACTGCTTTGTCGAAGATTTTATTTGCCTGTTCATACGTCTGTCTCTTGTTCATCTCCCTAGAAACAAATTATTATCTGAATAATTTAACCCCCATGTGTTTATGTGTATACGACAGTGTGTACAGACGTTCAAACTTACATCAGGGCTTCAATGGATTTTGGTTTGACAAAGATGGCAATTGGATAAAGTTGTGCTTGCTGCAGTCGTTTTATGGCGTTTCCAGAAACATCCAGGATGCAGTGTTTCCCCTGTGGACACACAGTTTGTCTGGTTACACGTCTGGACTTCAGAATCTCATTCAAATATATTGTATGTAGTTAATAGATCAAAATCAAAGTGCTGACACCAGTGCATACCCTCTCAGCCACAGTTCTGACGGACAAGATGCTCGTCCCGTAGAGGTTCTCGTTGAACTGCCCTGCCTCTATGAATTTATTGTCCTGAATGTCTTTCTCCATCTGCTCTCTTGAGGCCACAAAGTGATAGTCCTGACCGTCCATCTCGTTCTCTCGCCTTGGACGAGTCGTATCTGAAGAGCGACACAAACGGCGTCTTTGGTAAAAACACTGCTGCTGTATTTTAATGTGTTGATCTGTTGTGTGTGTGTGTGTGTGTGAGAGAGAGAGACTTAAACTGACGTGGTACACAGGAGCCAAACTTGTGAGGAAACTCTGAGATGAGGTCATCATTTATTCTGTCCTTCATTGGGCCCAGGATGATCACAGGCCTTGTGTAGTGGACTGTTGGAGACAGAGGAGACAGACAGTCATGCAGGAGAGCAGATGTATTAATTACTCCTGTGTCAGGCAAACAGAGGTAGCTTAGACTTCCGGACCACTGCCTAATCTAAAAATAGAAAAGGAAGTTACTCACTTTCCTGTCGAATGACTGGCTCATAGGAAAGAATTGTGTCTTCCTGCCCCTCTGTAATAACCACACCATTAGACAAGTTACATTCCATTGAAGACCATTCAGAAGTAGTTCAGCTGATTTTGATGCGGCAGCAGGACGAAGAATTAAACCTATTACAGGCACCATTTGACAATTAAATCTGCCATTGACAGTGTTAATCATGTGTAATATGTGCACAGTTAAAAAAAAAAAAAAAAAGGTTGAAGAACCAGGAAGAGACTCACTTGAACTGCTCTCGCTGTCACTTGTGTTAGATGTCAGGCATTCTGCGAAAGCACAAGACAGCCAGTTGCACACATACCAAAACAACATGGAGCCACAATATATACAGTTAGAAAACGTTTCCACGGTTTGCTGGTCCCATCTATTCTAGGTTCAAGAGAGAATTAAGAAAGCAGAAGTCTCTGCAGCCATGCTCTCACAATATTAAGGAAGTGGTTTTGGGTGAAAGTCAAAGGACATCAAGTGTTTCCTGTTACTGTTTCCCAAACGACCCATGATTGTTTGACACGTGTTTCAATTAGGGCTGTCCAAAGATTAAAGTTTGTAATCTGATCAATCACAGGGTAGTTGTGGATTAATCAGGATTAATCAAGATAAACATTAAATTTAACTGAATACCTTTTTGATATGTTTGTGACTAATCTAAATGATGGAATTAATATGGAAAAATGTCAAGAAACCTGTGCAAAAGTATAACTGAAAATGTAGCTTTATAAAGTTGGCGGTCATTACTGTGCAACCTGATGGTGGCGTGTAGAACGTGTGAAAACATCAGTCAAACCCTTCTTCTCAACAATTGTAACTGGTAAACAGTCCCTCATAATCTTGTCAGCTGACTTAACTGCCCTGCACTGCACTCAGTGAAGCTGGTTTCATGTAGGCTGTCATGGCCTTTGACCTGAAGTTGAGCTCTTCACAAACTCACAGATGGTATTTAATGATCAGGAGCTTTGGTGAAACTAAAGCTGTTTCCTATTGTGTATCGACTGTGTATTAGAGTAAGGGTAAATGGTACAAAAATATACAGTGTATATTCTATGCATTAGAATGCATGACATAAGCCTGTAGTAGTGGACTTAAAAATGGAGGAGCAGAATACTCAGTCATTACTCAGTCTAGTCATGACTACAGGAGGCAGGCATTTGCTGAATAAGGGGAATTGGAGAAAACTGTGTTTCTCCACTCAAACACAGCATCACACTGTGGCTCTGGTGACAAATACATTCTGTGACTTTGTCTGACAAAACTGTGCTAAATGATACAGACTCCCATGAGACCCAGGTGAGCGTCTCCCTCTGTAGATGTAAGTGTGTGGTTCAACATTCCTATCTGTGTCTGCGGTGACAAAGCTTTACTCTCTGAGCTCAAGGGGACATGACGCTGCTTGACACAGTAGGGCCGCACACTTACTCAAACTCTTTGATCCATAAAAGTCATCGCTTAACCCTGGGAAGTCCTAGGTGTCCCGACAGGTGAGAGCAGAAACCAAGAGGAAAGAGCAGAGAGGAAGAAGAGGAGAAAGAAGAAGAAGAAGAAGAGGTTAGTGAGAGTCAGGGCAGAGAGGGAGAGGAGAGGAGTGCTGTGCAGTGCTCACCAGGCCATCCAACACTTGGTGCTGTGCTCGACTCATTAGGCCTTAAGCTCAGCTTTTTTCCAATCCTATTAAAACAGGATTTTGACCCGTTTAATGTTGGAGCTTGTGTCCAGTTGTGGGTCAGTGACAATGGCTTGTAGTGAGAGTAGCTCAAACAGTGTTAGAAGGCCTGTGTGTTAATGCAGCCAGGAAGGCATGGTGCACACACACACACATGCACATGCACACAGTCAGACTCCTCTGGGGCCCACAGACACGTCAGAGAGAAGCCCACCTGTGGGGCATCTCTCTGGGACAGTGAGGTCGGGATGAGTGTGGTGACAAACCACAATCCATCCCTGGAGGTGAGCGGAATAGATGAAAAACTTGAGAGACAGAACTGAAGCATGAAGGGGAAAAGATGGAGAAAACACAACCCCCCCCCCCCCCCCCCCCCCCCCAGGATCACACAGCTGATACTCACGTTCAGACTCCACCAACTCCTGCACAATATTCTCCTTGCTCTTGTAAAACGGGAACTTGCGTGAGAGGTTGAAGCTTTTTTTGCGCTTTACTTTGACTGGCTGCTCGTGTGGGTGAGAGTGGGGGACGGCGGGGCAATGAGAGGGTGAGAACAAAAACAGAATGGGTTTCAATGAGGGTATTGAATAAGCATGCAAAATAACAGAAAAGAAACATCAACAACCAAACGATGCATGTGGTGTAATGAACAGAGGAGAAGCAGGTGATGTGTGATGTGAAATGAGCAGCACAGGAGCAACATCTAATTCAACAGTCGTTCCAAATAAATGACGGTTCAGCCTCTGATGAAGGTGCTGACATCTTATAAGCAGTGGAGGTAAGAGAAACCTCTCATCTCCACAGCTCCTATGTAACATATAGAGTAACACGAGTGCTCTGTGTGCTGGTTTCAGGGTGCAGCTGCTGGACTCCACCCCCCCACACAGTGAGGGTGGAGGTGGGGCAGTAGACTGTCTCTCCCTGGGAGTCCAGCAGCAGTGGTGAACAGTCTCTGTGGCACCAGAGCAGGAGCAGCTGCCCTGCTCCACTTACCCTGTTGGACTCAATCATGCCTGTCCTGGCGTGAAACTTGACTGTTTTTAACCTGGCCCGCTCTTTCTTCTCCACTCTGAAGTAAAAAACAACAACAACAACAACAAAACATTTAGGATGGGTATAATTAAGCAGGTACAGTTAAATTTGCCTGCCATTAACAAAACACTCAGGGACCTCTTCTTGCTTGGAATGACCCCGATCTGCTCGCTCTCTCCATGCGGAGTGACCAGCCTGGCCTGCCACCACTCATCGTCAGAAGCATTAATGACATGGAGAATGTCACCGTACGAGAAGCTCAGGCCTTGGCTGGGCAGGCAGCTGTCCCTCGTTCGATCGTAGTCGAACAAAGCTCTACAAAGACAAAGACTTTGGTTACACGTCTGGACTTCTGTCAAGAGGCTGTGTGTGTGTGTGTGTGTCTGTGTCTGAGTGTGTGTCTGTGTAGAGACTGCACGCATAGATCAAATTACTGCAGCCTCTAGGGATTCAAATTCCAGGTATAAACATACAATAACAGTTATTAAAAACCTTTCAGATAAATCAGTGGCATACTACTGGCTGTTTTAGACAAAAGTGCATTCATTTATAGTGTCTAATAAATAAATGGCCTTGCAATCAATACATACATGAAGCTTGTACATTTCTTTTAGTACAGTTAATCACATTTGACCAGGTAGACCACCAATTTACAATTTGACAACATGATTGCTACTTAACTTAACCAGAAGAAAAAACTGCATTTACTGTTTTGCAGCCAATGATTTTTACATCAAGGTGATCTGACAGATGTCACAGAAAAAGACCACGACCATTGCATTAATACCAGTCGATATTTAGATAGTGAACTGCACAAAATTGGGAAATCCAGAGAAATGGAGTTCACACAGCAGGAGGAAGAAGACAGTCAATTTTGTTAATACATTCCTAAACAGTTGTTAATAACCAACAAGAGTTTCACAGCTGTGATTATTCATTCATCCATTTTCTACACCTTAATCCATTTTCAGGGTCACAGGGGAGTTATTACCACAGGTGACCTCTGACTGTGAAGTCTGACTGTTTGTTTTAAATGACAGTGGGAAATAGTTGTTTTTTATAAACAATTTTGTGAGCAATAGACACACAATGATAATAAATGTCACATTTTCTCACAGACGTTTCAGATGTTTCTATTTGACCTTTTTACAGTTACCGCCACATACTTTCCACTACAAACAAACATGCATTGTGGTGGCAGTGAATGCGTCACTCTCTTTTCAGACAGGTAAACCCGGAGCCATGATATTAAGACCTGATTTACTGGCTTAACTTTTCCTTGACCTACAAGCCTATTTCTTCAGGCCATTACTATGGTCCAGAGGACAAAAAGGAGGAGGGACTAATTATTTTTTCCTTCTGTCCAGCTAAATAGGTAAAGTAGAAAAATGCTAAAACGGATACAACAGGGAAAAAAAGGAAAGCCTTAACACTGTAGACAATTTAACTTTAACAGAGAGTGTGATCAAACGTATGTTTGTTTTTTGTGTTTGTATTTTTCTGAGTGCACCTTAGTGATTTAACGCCTCCACATTCCTAAAGCTGGGCAGGGAGTACATGGCGGCTCCTGCATCTGCCGGCTAACTAGCTTTTCCAACATAACTATAGGCTTAGTCACCGCATATGCACACAAGCAAACGCACAAACATAAGTAGGCTCTACATACCTGAGAGGGGCCAGTCTATAAGAAGCAGGAGTCAGACTGGTGATTACCCCTGACTGTAGCATGTGCTCTGTCACATACCTGCCTCTGTTCTTTTGATAAATCAGTGGAAGGTTCACCGCTGCTGAATCAATCTACTAATGCAGCCATTAGGCTCAGGTTAAGTGGAGCGCATTACAGCATCAGCAGAAAAATACGGACGCATTTGGCCTGCGGTGTGTTACATCACAGAGTCCTTCTACCTCGACACTGTGTGTCCTGTGGTAGTTGTTTGTGTGTGTGTGTGTGTGTGTGTGTGTGGGCTGCTCGTTTTAATTCCTAAATAAGCCTCCATCCATTTTGGCAACCTTTCATCACACAGGTCACTTCAACAAACTCATCTGTCAATCTGCATTAGAGAAAGTGGACTCAATGTCATACAGGTCGTAAAGACAACAACAGCAAATACCTGTCCATCAGTTTATTGACAAAGATGGACTGAGTCCACCCAATGTCCCAGAATAAAAGCATGTTGTACAAATATGTTTTTTTGTACAAAGATGTCATCAAAAATAAAAGTCATCATTTATCTACATGTGCTTTTCAGACTGCTCCCCCTGCAGGCAGATTAGTGTTGTGTATTTTTAAGGATCTAAGAAGTTGATTTAGTGACTACAAAGCCAGGGCGTGTGTGTGTGTGTGTGTGTGTGTGTTCTCCAGCTTTTACCTGACGTAGAGAGAGCGTTTCTCACTGGTGCGCAGGGAGCCGGATCCTGAGCTCATACTGCTGTTCATCATCTGCTCCCGCAGGTCGTGAATCTTGGACTCAAAGCGACTGTATTCTGCAATTAATAAAAGGAGAGCAAAGTTTTGACAACATCACCAAAAAATAATGGGTCTCTGAGAGGACAAACACCTGTGTGCTTAAGAGGGACAAAAGACAGGACAGACACGGTTAAATTCCTTCACTGGAAGCAGGTTGTTGTAAAAGCTGTGTCTTAAATTCATACTGCGGTCAGATACGAAGAATGTAGGAAGCAAAGGAGTCAGTGAATCTTTAGGTTGATTAATCACCTTAGGAACATATGGTTTATCACAGATCTGCCTCACACGACCACTAATGTCTCATGTCAGCTAATTAATTACACAGATTAATTAAGTTCAACATGGGCTCTTTAGTGTTCTAAAAAAAAAAAGGAAGGCCTCCAATGCCTGACCATTTGTCATAGGCTGTGTAATACCAGTTGCTGCTCAGGAACGTGAAGGGGGGGGGGGGGGGGGGGGGGGCGGGGGAGGGGGGGGGGGGGGATGATGTATGAATCTACCTGGACGCCCTCATTAAGAACACTCTCATTAGCCTGCTGTGTGCAGCATGGCCTGTGCCTGGGCTGTGGGAACGAGCTGAGGCCACCACAGTGCACACGGTGAAGTAAACAACATGGCAGATGCAGGTAGAAAAACAAGTCGTCAATGTAATTAAATAAAGATGAGACAAAACATTTGATATGATTTCGGCATCTGCTAAAGTAACCCGTTCTCAACGATTAAAGGGCTGTAATACGTCACACTGTTCTACCACTCCAGGAGGTGCTATAAACACAGTTATTAGCCCTAAACTCTGAATTGCCTGTGCTCAAACTAAATTATTATTTTATATAAATATGTTTATAAATAAAGTAATGCATTTTACTGAAAAAAAGTAATTCATCTGCTAAACAGTAGCAGAGAACTTTGCCGTTATGAGGCAAAGTGCACAACAAGACAAGAAATGCATGTACCTGGAAACAAAACTTAGTCTCTGTTATGAATGCAACCTTTTTGGTAGAGCAAAAATCACAGCTCCACCTCTCCATCAGTTCTGGTTTCTTTGGTCTGTAAAACCTTGACTTAGGTTTGGAAAGATTATTTAGCCTCAAGGTTCAGCTAGGCTAAGCTAACCATCCTTATCTGTGGTTTTTAAACAGCAGCTCTGCAACCTTGCAGTTGCTATAGCAGCACAGATAAATATTTTTACCCAGAAATGTCCAGCAATTCTTAAAAAAATGAAAGAAAACAAAAAAAACCCCAAACAGATAATTAAATACAGCACAGGCTACTTCTGAGTCAGATAAAATCCAAGGGAATTCATTTACATCATTGTGTTCATTTTCTTTACAACCAAAAAATATGATTTACAGTACTGCTCTGAAACTGTGTTCAACAGCTTCAAACCAACTTATGAATGAAAGAGTCACTACCAGTGAATGTGTCATCGTTTGTTCTACATACAGTACATCTTTCTCACTGCTACGACTGAAGCCTCATGGTTTAATCATTCCTTGTTGACTGAACTTCCTGTAACATGAACACGAGATCAAAGTCCAGATACAGTCTAACAGGCCAAGTAACCTTCAAAGACAAATAGCTGCTCCCACACAAATAATCTAAAACACCTTATCACAAGATCCTGACAAATACTGGACAGGTGCAAAAACAGGCCTCCAGTGGCTGGACTCAGCTGCAGGCCAGGTCCTGGGGAATTCAAAGCAAAGTGAGACGTCAGCTCAGGTCCTCCACCCAGGTCACACCTTAAAGGGTTAACAATACAACAGAATGGCGGTGCAAGGTGAGGTAACTAGACACCTTCTGACTATCTGCAACCTGGAGCAATAAGCTGGTGAAAACAGGGACAACAGTTGTGCAAAAGGCCTTTGAGAATAGTCCGCTGCTCCCACAGGCACAGGAGACACAAGCAGAGGGACAGAAAAGCTATTCTGATGAACTGGTTCTTCATACGACCAAACTGAAGGACAGGGTGTGGGCTGTGTTCATGAGAAAAAGAACTGTGTAGCACAGGTGAAGAGACAAATGCTGGTTCACATTCCTAATGTCCAAACGGACTGTGTGGACATTCAAGAGGAGCAGGAAAAACTCCTACTTTGTGGTTAATTAGAGCTGCACCTTGTGGACAAACGCAATATCAGAATACCAGAAAGAATTCTGCTGTGGTAAACCCTACATGGATGTACCTATGAACTCTATCCATGAAATCATTACTGTTGATAGTATGAACATCTCAGGAGATTCTATTTAAAAAAATGTAATATGATTAAGCTGGACAAAGTAATTAGGTGTTGCTTAAAAAAAAACAAAACAAAACAAAACGTGGTCGATCTTTAAACTCAAAGTGCTGCCTAATCAAGACTCTGTCTAACGAAGAATTCATGAATGCTATGTTCTTGACTATTGTAGCTTGCAGTTTGGTTTTTCTAAATTCTATCACTTTCATCCAGGTAATCCATAGGTATCTTCTACTTGTCTTTTAGCCTGGAAGTAAAATGGAATGATAGAACTAGGAACCATTGCAACAGTTTGTCACTGACCCAAACTCTAGTCTACAGACTGAGAGGTTACAGTACCAAAGGTAAACCCTTCGGTTTTCTTGTTAACACAGATCAGATGAGTTCTTCACTCACTAATGAGACACTGACCGCCCACACACACACACACACACACACACACATCATCATCATCATTACAACTTATCTCTCAAAACCACTGGTACCAAATCCAAACAAAGGTTTTTCTAGTTGCCATGAATAGTTTTGACAGACAATCTTCTGAGCTGTTTTGCAGAAATTTAACAATCCCACAAAGACTACAGAAAAAACAACAGTTAACACCAGCAACTTATACACGACAATGAAACAAAAAGAGATGTACAACAGCATTAACAATTTGTTCCCTATAATATGAAGCAGATCAGTATGATCTCGTCACACACAAATAAAGAAACCAAACGGCGTAACACCATCATTACATCACAAGTCCATCGTAGTCACCCCTTTTGGCTTTGCACCGCAGTGAGTACTTACACATTAATTAGTAACAATTCTCTAAAGCTGGAAGTGTATCGTTCCAATGCTGGATTATGGGAGTACACACACTCATCAAAGATATATTTATCCTTACAGCAACGCTGTGAAAATGGTTTCATAATAAACTGATGGTTAATCTGACTCAGAGTGTGGGGGGAATGAGGCCTCTCTCACTCCTCTAGCCTAAATGCTTTCCTCTTCACCATACAACTTTTCTGAATGGGTACAATAGTGAAAACTGCATCACTGAATAGGGGAGATCAAACCAGGTCAGGAGGTGTAAAATATAAGACATACAAAGGCTGTGTCTGGGGAAAATCATTATTAGTGATGATCAGCATGCAGAGAGACATGCACGGCTATGATCTAATCAGGTGACTGATAGCTAAAATTGTTCTAAACAAGAAAGGGTCTATCAAAAATACCACCACTTGTGGAAAGATACATAGCTTTGCTTTAATACACCGGGGTGACACTATATTTAGAAATGACCCACAGGAAGAACAGAGTGCTAATAGAAATCTGGACTATTCTGCATCACACTCCCACAGTGTGCCCTCATTAGTCATGGAGCTTCTTTTTATTTTGGGGGTGCTGTCGCTGTTTGTTTCATCAACTTATTCAACACAGTGGGTACATACTCGTAATATGAGAGTGTGTTATGTTGTCAGGAAGAGATGACAGCCAACACACAGAGCCCCCAATCAAATGCAGCAGCAGCAAAATTAAGTCCTCGGATAAGTGACCTCTCCAAACTTCTGTAATGCACAGCTAAGTTTGATGTGGTGTAAGTGGTGTTAACATTTCCTCTGCAGCCCTCCTCCCATTTCCTAAATACCAAAAGTTTGGTGTCATTACACGGTTTGATAGTAGGGAAGACCAAAACGTGAATACACCTTCCCCCACCCCTGGCATTTATAATTCTGCTCAAAGAATCTACGCTAAACCATTAAAAGATTTGTTGATGTTTCATCGAGCCAGCAGTCTCCATTTGTCTCTTTAGCAGTCTTCATTGGCTCTTCAGAGATCTGTGGATGTCATGGTCTGAGCTCCTATGAGGACATTGTCTGACATTAACTGTCCTGGTCACGTTCATTCACCTGAACAGGGCTTATGCACAACAACAGTGCTTCCTCTAGCTCCAAGCTAAAACAAATGACGGGTTGCCCGCTGCTGTTAGGACGTCAGAAGATTTACTGTTAGCAGATGGAGATCACAGGTCAGAGGGAATACAGGAAGTCAATCATTTGCCAGTACTTGTGTGTTTAGAAAACTTTACACAAACAGATGAGTGTCCTTAGCCAAGTTACAATGAGGGAGCAGAGCTGAGAGCAGTATTTGGTGTGGAAAACAAAGGTTTCCTTTAACCCAAGACATCATTATTCAACACGCTGACCGAATGGTCCATGCATACCAGATGATATGAACTCTCATAGACAAGAATGGAGCGTTGTACTGCATTTTTGTAGCATAAAGAAAAACCTGTAGCACACCATTGTCAGTTGTAATCATAGCCTGTGTTTGTCATAAGGTGAGTTGCATGACAACTGATCCTCACCAATCCTGTTCCAGCCCAATTTCAATGACCTTGAATTAAAACTGGACATGCAAGGCTCATGTTTTATTAAAAGAAAAAAAGGAAAGAGCATGCTACAACATATGCCCCTGTGCATTCCTGTCATAGTACGACCTGAAAACCCTGCCTTTATCTAAAGCTCACAATATCCTTTCTTTTGTTGTTACAGCATACGTTCACTCCGTGCGAGTATATATGAACACAGAGGAGCAGGCAACAGCCAAAGTTGTCCAATCTTGTTCCATGTTGTGAAAATAAAAATGAATCACAGAAAATCTGCTTAAACACATTTCATTTTTTAAATTTTATAAAAATCCATTAAAAAAGCACACACAATCTTAAGTTTAAGCACTCCCATTCCTTAGTCTTCAGTGTAAAAACTTGCTACTATATATTAGGTTAAACTTTGTAGCTGTTTCACACTGATAGCAGAGAAAGTTAACAAAACATACTATAATTTGTCTTTCATGTGAGGAGCTAAAGTTTTAAATAACAAGGGCTCACTTCATTAAAGTTAGGTAGCGCGAACAAGCATATGGGCCAGACATGAACATTTTTCAGTGCAAATTAGTCAATTAAAACCCCAAATATGACAATAACACAAAGACCTGCAATACACAAGGAATTCCTTCATTCATTACCATACATTTCTACTCTTCTTCCCTCTGTCCTAAGGTAAAGATAAAAAGACAGCTTCAGTAGGAACGCTTGTTTTGAACAGATATAACAGGTAAAAAATAAGGGCCATTATTTGATAATACTGTCAACATGTTATAGCGTCGACCATTAGCATGTTCACATCAGCCCTGTATTTAAATGATCAAAGCTAATTCCAATCGAAAGTAATATTGATAAGACGTATTTATTCAAACCAGTCAAAAACATTTTAAATTTCATTTTTGACTGGTTTATTTCAAATTTGTACTTTGGACCAGTACGTAGTGAGTTTCGATGACATACAGTACGTAAGCAGTTATTGGTAGGATCATAAAGTCTGGTTCGTTGGTATTGACCGATCTATTATTAGCTTTATTTACATTTCCTCCAGGAAAATCATGACCATGAATTATACATATTGTCATACTTGTGTAGAGTAAGGAGCTGATGTTCACCAGTGAGGTCACCGTGAAACCTTCAGCAGCAGGCTGACACACACCTGTTTGACCACACCTCTGTGTCACAACCTCAAGGTTTAGGTTACATAAGAACACTTATAGCAATTGTTCACAGGTCCTGAACGAATCCTGCTCCAAAACCTAAGACTCACTTTTAAACATTAGATGTGACAGTTGGATCATACACTAAGTCACGGTGACTTCAGGTAATGGCTGAGTGCAGACAGAGGAGTGAGGTTTTCGAAGCCTGTCATTTATGTTTGTTTTTTTACCTTAATTCCAGGGCTAGTTAAACAGATAAATGCGTGTAGTAGTGTTTAAACTGGGTTAAGTATCAATTTTAGCTGAGGTCTCAAGTGAAACTGGCGTTTCTATCCAGTTCACTACCTAAGTTGAACAACAGGTTACTGCTAACAGGAGCACCGAGCTAATTTGATACAATGCGAGTATAAATACACGGCTTATACGGAGTAACTTCGCGTCAGTGTTCACGTAAACGTTCCCTCTCAACGTTCCTTACTTCCGTATCTCACCTGAATAAATGATAGTACGGTTACTGTTTCTCTGAGTCGGCCGGTAATTTCTTCATCCAGCAATTAGGAAGTTCATGCGGCTTCTGCAGTGCTGCTGCTCCTGTTGTATTCCAGCCCATCCCCCATACACAGACTCCCAGTTTCTCACACAAGTTTCTCGCTTTCCTCCTTCACTATCAATACTTTTTTCAAAAGCAAAAAAAACTTTCCGTTGTCGTTGTAATGTAAATAAAGCTCGTATTTTCCGCTTTAATGTCCTCTTTCCATGGCTGCCCACAGACGGGGTTATTACAGACAGACTGTGGCAGAGGGGCAGGGAGTTTGAACGGAGGAGGAAGACAACAGCGGTTCGTTTGCCCGCCTTAGAGCAGCTTTTACAGTCAGCACCACACTGCAGCTTAGGAACACAAGGACCGCCCCTCAACCTGAATACTTCCTGCTCACAGCCAATCAGCGGCGCCGCCCTCGTTTCTCCAACCACAGGCTGTCACGCACCCTCCACCAACAGGTAGATCAGTTTCAGTGCACCATTAGAAAATGGAATAATGACAAGCAGAGGCGTTCGAAAGGGATTTTAGGGCGAATAGACGAATGGGACCCCCCCTTCCGGAACTATTGTTCGTGGACTCAGGGTTTCTTAATCGGGGTAAGGTGAGGATCAAAAATATTCGTACGAGTATACGTGCCATTTTCCCAGAACTATTACCTCTGCCCCTCTTACAACTCTGAAACCACTCTATTACAGCACCACAGACACAGACGGCACTGTGTTTTCAACTTCTAATATGTTGTGGTTCAAATATAAGATGCTTTCAGCTCAGGGAATTATACAATCCATGTTTTCTTAAACATAACCAAAACATTTAATAATCTTTACGGTGTGTTAGCATTAAGTACTAAAATTAAGAAAATTAAGATTTTTAAAATAAAAACGTTGCATGGACGTAGCCTTCTTTAAAAAAAAAGTCAGTTGGATACTAAAGGTAAATGAACTAAAGTTGGGCTGACAAAATATCCAGCAAACCGCAAGACTTTTGCAGACTTAAATGTTTGCAAAAGACTTTTGCAGACATAGAAGTTTTCCTCACACACTGCTGCTCTGGAAAATATAAAAAAAAACCCACAAAAGCAGCTTAAGCTTTAAACACTTTTCTGTGGACTATCAGACTGAAGCTTCAGGCAACTGACTGCTTTCACTAGCATCTTGAAAAGACGATGTTTAATAAAAAATAATCAGCCAAACCACTTTTTAACTTTGTGTTCTTAGTACGTTAGTATAATAGGTCTGTGGGTTCCAAACTTTTTAATATGAATATTTTGGTTTCCTTGTTTTTCTTCCACATTAAAAATAAATGATTGTGGTTTTTGACAAAAACAAGAGATTTGAGGACATGGTCATGTAGCAGTTGGACAGAAATTAAATTATGTGATTATAATATATTATGTTTGTGGAGGTTTGTATTAGGTAGACACTTTGCCATATACTGTCTTACAAAATCAAACCACAGTCTTTTTTAAACATAAACAAGGATATGGATGGGTGATTTATGAGAACTTTGTTGCTAATTTGCAAAATGTTCTAATACCTTGGTTGATGGTTAGTCCTTCTTATTGTCTGTTTAACCTGTGAGGTAAATGTCTGTAAATATCTGTGAACTGCGACCACAGGGCTGTACCTTCAGGCCTGTACTGAGCGATGATGGTGACCGTCTGTCCTGCTCTCTTCAGTGCTGCTGCTGCCTGCTCATGTGTAGCATTCCTTAGGTTCACACCATTAACCTGCATCAGAATAGACAGAGAACCTACATGAGAACGATTCAAAAAGGTGTGTTGCTGTCTCATTTATTTAGATCTGCAGATGAAGCAGATGAACCTCCATGGATCAAAGTCTAACCCAAGGCTGGATGACTTCATTCCAGCCTGTGGAGATAAGAACCACTCCTATCACATGGCGACCTGGCTTTAACTACTAAAAGTTTTTTTTTATTTGTACATGTCCACAGATTTCCTCTTTTTATCAACTTCTGTTTAAATATTATTTTAATATATGGTTAATGTATGATTTACTGTGTATACGGACATAAAGCTTCACTGAGTAACCTAAAAAGAGATTTAAAGGAGCTAACTTTTGGATATTCTATTAATTCCAAAGTTTTCATTTCTGGCACAAAGCAGCCAAGCCCCCTCTGAGCTGATATGACATCCATCTTTTTGCTCAAGGACATTTGAGTGGAGCAGATGTTTCTGTCTTTCTAAACACTAAAAATCATCTTTATGCTCTTTCCATTTTTCTGAGTTCAACGATTAAACATTTCCAGAAATTACATCAAACCAAAAATAGATGAAGTGAAGGTACTGACTGAGAGAATGCGGTCACCCCTCCTCAGCTCTCCACTCAGGTCGGCCGGCCCTCCTGCCAGGATGAAGGAGACCAAGATGCCCTCGCCGGCCTCCCCGCCCACAAGGCTGAAACACCGGCCTGACATCCATCTTTTTGCTCAAGGACATTTGAGTGGAGCAGATGTTTCTGTCTTTCTAAACACTAAAAATCATCTTTATGCTCTTTCAATTTTTCTGAGTTCAACGATTAAACATTTCCAGAAATTACATCAAACCAAAAATAGATGAAGTGAAGGTACTGACTGAGAGAATGCGGTCACCCCTCCTCAGCTCTCCACTCAGGTCGGCCGGCCCTCCTGCCAGGATGAAGGAGACAAAGATGCCCTCGCCGTCTTCCCCGCCGACAATGTTGAAACCCAGGCCTGTGGAGCCTTTGTGGAGCAACACTTTCCTTGGCTCCCTGTCAAAGAGAGTGACAGTGTGAGGGTTAGAGACAGGGCAGAGAGGTGTAAGTGGCAAAAAAGAGCACGATCTGAGAGACACGCTGAAGCTGATAAAGATAACAGCCATCTTCTTCTAGTTTTTGCTGCATTTCATAACGGAAATGGATTCGTTAGGAGCAGGTACAACATAGTCTGAAGAATACACACTGCATATATATATATATATATATACTGTCTACGATACATAAGACATGGACGTAAATATCCATCCTCAAGTGAGGCTATTAAAACTGACTGAAAGTGTTTTTGACGGCAGCTCCACATTACTCTTTATTAGAAGTCATGGGGGAAAAGAATAATTGATTAATGTCAGCAAATTTACAGTCAGCATTGTGAGGCCTTCTGAAGAGAACACAACGGCAACTTTGTGAATTATGACCCCATTGAAAGAAAACAGGATTTGATGAATGAATGACATACTGTATATGAAATACATGGAGCTGACAACTGATCTTGTCTGCAAAACTTTATATTATTAGGTAACAGTTATATCAGCATATTCCTTATGCTGATATGCATTGGGCCCTGTTTTCCTTTTTTAAGTATTTTACTTTAAACGTCATTTAAATTTCACAAAGACATTTCCTCAATATGGTTATTGGTAGCCTAATCCCGAATTTATAAAGGCAAAAGTCATTTGAAACTCAACAAACGTAAACCACCAGGAAAGATTATTCAAGCTTAATCAGCTGAGCCTGGACAATAGTAAAACAGTTATTGCTGTTATTAATTACGGTAATCAATCAAAAGTACATTACTCACCAGCAGAATCAATGATGAACCACAGAAACAGTCATGCACTAATCACACTGCTAACACAGATAAATTAAATGACTTCATAATCACTAGGATGACACTGTGCAACTCATTACTGTTAGCGGCAGAGGGGGCAGCCACACGTCTGGACCCAAAAGGCTGGTAATCCACTGACTGATGTTCTGTTTATGCATGTAATCTTATGGAAACCGACACACTCAAACACAAACTTACACACTCACCTATAATATTCACTGTAAGCAGAAACAATGCACTGCCTTCTGCTCAGACTCACTGAAGCTTAAGCTTGAGCCACTATGACTCA